TGCTGTTCTCAAAAGCAGGACACTCTTTCACAGGATGAGAAACAGAACACACAGCCATACCATGTATCACGGGGACGGTCAAAACATCACGCTAAGTGAAAGGAGCTAGACGCGCTTCTACAGAGGGCGCGGCCCCACTTACACAGAGTGGCCAGAAAAGGGAACCCGAGGTAGGTGGGTGCACAGAGGCAGGGGAAACGGGAAGCCCCTGTCTGGTCCTCTCACTTCTGCTGTGAAGCTACAGCTGCCTTAAAGCATAGTCTAATTTTAACAAGTAAAAATGTAAATAAAAAGCAGCGCTTACATTCCCCACGTGTTCTGATTCCCCCAGAGGTGGGGGCCCTCCCAGAAATCTGAACACACCTGAGACAGGAATTCCGGAAAGAAGAGGGGTGTACAGCGAGGGGCCCCACCCCCCTCTGGGGTTCCCAGAAGGGACCCTGTGGAGCTGGGAGGCTGCTCCCCACCCCAGGGGACTTCCTGGAAGGCCCTTGCTGGACTTCAAAGTCAGCCGAGCCTGCATATCACAGAACAGGCCGCAAAGAGGCCTCACCCTGGCGGCTGCAGAAACTACAAAAGCCACCGGTGCCCAGCACCCTGACAAGCAGGGCCAGTTCCGAAGCACCGGACAGGCCATTCCTGGCTCAGCCATCACTTGCAGCACCTCTGGAGAACGCCAGCAGCAGGCATGTCTGACCGGGGGCACGTTTGCCACGCTTCCACACTCACTGCCACCCAGGGCCTGGGAGCTGAGCTTCTACAGGCCCGAGGCCACCAGGGAGGGAGCACTGGCTGGCCGCCTTGAGCCTGAGGGCGTCCAGGCCTGTGTAGAGGGAGCTGGGCTCTAAAGAAAAGGCAGAAAGGCTGAAGGGAGAAATGGATTGTCCACCCAGAGCCAGAGAGCACCTCAACGTGGGCTGTCCAGACCCTGTGGGCACTGAATAAGGGGTGCTGGTTTCTGGGCTGCTGGGTCTCTGCCAATAAAAGCCCCACAGGGATATCTGGGTACCTGGGAGCAAGGAGGGGTAAAGGTTTATTTATTTATTTATGTATACAGATCTGGGGTACAGGTCAGAGGTGCTGGGACACTGAGAAGACTCACCAGAGACAGAGTGGGGAGCAGAACAGGCAGATCAAAGTCCACTGCTGAGGGGAGCAGCGGGCGGGTTGGGAGAGGTCTGCTGCGCCCTGTGGTCACCTCCGGGACAGGGATCAAACTCGCAATGAAGCGGCTGCAGCCAGCTTGCAGTGCTGTGTCCTAACCGGCTGCGTCTCCAGGGAGGGCCCGCAAGGAGGGGTAAAATCCAGACACCTCTCCACGACTCTAAGTCCCTGTCTGCCACAGTCACGCTCCCACTACACCCTGCTCTTGGCTCCTAGAACTCTGGCCATCGTCCTCTTAGGTCGGGCCAGCTGCTGCCCTCCACTGGGACGTGCTCCTCTGCCCTCACGCCGACGGTCCTTCCCGCCCTCGGGTCCTGCCTCATTCTTTCTGAGCACGGCCCTCAGCGCCCTCTCCAGCACAGGCCAGCCTCACCCTGTCTCCAGAATCCGCTTTCTTCATGTCTTTTATGCAAACCTGTGGTGACTTGGAGTTACTATCTGTGTCCAGGTTTCCTTCCACTCCCCTCCCCACATGAGCCCCACAAGGCCACTCGGTCACAGCCCCAGGTGTGGGTCTCCTGCTCCCCCATACTCAGCTGCCTTCTTTTCAAAACACAGCTCAGGGTGCCCGGCTCCACCCAAGAAAAACACTTGACTCTAACAGAGCTAACGCCTGAAGTAATAGAACACTGTGCCGGTGCTTTCCGGGTCTCCTACGTCCGAGCTGTCCCTGCCATGGTGTCCCCAGGTCTCGCCGCCCTTGTGTGAGTTCCTGGCCTCCAACACCTGCTTAGCTCTGCAGAAAAGCCAGGCTGGTATACAGACGGGTGGGGTGGAGTCTCTAGAAGGATCGAGAGGATCACTTAACTGCTGTCCACAGAGAAATGGTGCCCCACCGAGGTGAGGCCACCAAGCCCGTGTCCCCCCAGTGCCCAGTATCCAGTCACAGAGTCCAGTGGAAGACCAAGCCTTGTAAAATTAGCCCTTCCAGGGATCATGCTTAGTGAAATAAACCAGAAAGAAAAGGAAAAATACCGGATGGTTTCACACATAGCAGGAGCATAAAGGCCCAGAGAGGCAAATAATAATAATGAACAGCTATATACCAGAGACATTTACGGGGGTGGAGTGGGTGGGGAATGGGGTCAAAAATGGGAGGGGGGCAGTGCACAGGACTATGGTGATGGCACATGGGCGATTTGGTGATGGGAAGCCCACAGGGATTGCAGCTGAGATGGAAAAAGGCACAAAATGATGCAAAAATGAACTATTATCAAAAAATTAGCCCTTCCAGCTGCCTATCAACATCATGGCCGCACTGGCCAGCGATGCCAATGGTGCTGGCCAGGCGCTCGGGCCAGTGGTGCCAGCCAAGGTCCTGGCCGTGTCCTGTTTACAAGACTTGGTGGGCAAGCTGCCCTCCCCTACCCCTGCCATCTAAGCCAAGGCCGTCCAGCCGATGGCAACGCCAGCCACACGCGTAACTTGCTGGTAACCACATTAGAAGTCCAACAGGTGTGATTCCTTTAATATACTTTATTTGAGCAAACATTCAAATCACCGTCCACGAACACGCAATCAATATCTCACGATGTAATCAGGGAGATGACATTTTTCTCACTCGGTCTTGCCTGGATTTCACTCTTAGAGCACATCGCAACCCCGACCAGCCACCCAGCGCAGCCCTAGCAACAGAGGCACCGGGCGGGCGCGGCGCGCACCCAGCGCACCCAGCACCCAGCAGCCAGCGGCTGCGGGCGGGTCCTCCCAGGGCCGGGTCTCGGCTCCGGGG